TAGCAGTTTACCGACGTTTCAGAGGTGCTTACTGCCTCCATCATCAGGGCGGTGATGATGGGGCAGTACGTGTTATTTGCACAAATTGCATAAAATGAATGCATAATTGGGAGGTTGTCTTTCCATCAGCGTATGTCATCTCCGAAATTATCCAGCACATGAAAATGTTGAGGCACTTCATTACCTTGGGCGATATTTCAACCAGCAATTCCAGTGTTTGAGCGGTTGAAGACCGTTTTTACTATATCCGCCAGTGGATGAAAGTGGATAATAAATTGGAACATATTTTTAAGTAACAAGTATAAATACTGAATTGTTTTATTCATACAAGACAAACCATGAATATTCTATGGAGAATGTTATCCATGCTGCTTGGTTCCGAGATTTGGAGACATGGCATGGCGTGGCCAGTTGCATTACCCGATTTGAGAGCCGCTGACGTTTTGTCTCTGGGGATGGCTAAAGACCAAGATGTTCCTCTCGCAGCCGAACAGCGAATGATCCAGAATATAGAATACGTGACAATTGGTGACTATATTTAGTGCTGTGAATTTCAGGAGATGGTTACAGCAATTATACCAGTCCAGAACCCCTGTAACTGTTTGACTTGAAATTTGAACTGGCCAGAAGATCAGGGGTGAAGGCCCCCCGCTAGCAAGCCATATGTGGAGGTTCCCTCGCCAGCAAGGGATCTGGTATGCAGGTCAAAACACATGGCAGTACTCGAGTGGACATAGTCGACAGCGGGCTTTCAGCCAGTAAACCAAACTTTTGTACCAGTTAGGGAAATAGTGTATAAGATTTTCTTTAATTTCAAAAGTAAAATTATTCCGTTTCTTAAATTTGTTGTTCCTGTATTTATTGATATACATCAAAATTACCACGTCAACCCTGAGGTGATCCTTGTTCTCCACTGACTCTAGTTCGGGATATAACTATCTCTTTCTGCAAGAACAAAGAAGATAAAAGTAGTGAGGAAGGATAGTTATACAATGTTGAAACAGGCATTTAGAACGCGTTATTTTCTATAAGTAAGGCATGGATAATAAACTGTAGTAATTAAACTGTCGTCATATTGAGAAGTTTAGTGAAAACCGCCCAATCCGAATGGGACTTACACTGTACACGATGATCGACATAGTTTTTCACGTTGATTAGCAATTACCCCAGTGACTTCAGAGTTCTGAGAAGTCTAAATAAGAACTGCGTGGAAAAGGAGCGAATTTTATATTTTTTTAATATTTAGATTGCCTTGAAAGGTTTTTTTTAATTACCTCGGCCGTACTCAGGAGTCAGAAAATAAATTTCTCGGTCTTAAAAATGTGAGAACTCATGTCACGGCTGCACGTTAACAATGGATGGCCTGCCAAAGGTGGGAATGAGATCACCTCTGGCTGGTGATAGGAGCACATCACAGATTATTTGGCTACATTGTCTTTTCTATGAATGCAGCTCCAAAGAGGAGCGTGAGAAGCGAGCCGACCGCCGGTCTGCCTTCTAAACAAGACAGCCAACTATCCCCAGTAACCGCATGCCATCAGGTCGATATTGCATTCAGGCGAAAGTTGTTCGAGAGAGGTCACATCTTTAATCTTGTGCTCAGCCTGTCTTTGCACAAGGTTATGTTCACCAGGTGATCAAGAATAGTTAAACGGGCTGTGCATGTAGCACGGATAAGTACAATTGAAATTCTTACAATATTTATCGGTTTCCCGAACAAAATTTAATATGCGTTGCTTATTCCACTTTTATTGTTACATTTTCACTGTAATTATTGAATGATTTTTTTGAAAATTTAGTATGAGCTTCTGAATGATGACAGGAAAGGTTTAATTTAATTAACAAACTTATTACTCCATGAAGCAGAGTCCTTCTTGAGAAATCACAAGAGCCCGCGGCGGTGTGCGCGGAAGGGTCAGGGCGCGAGCCCGCCTGGAGCCGCCGCCGGTGCAGATCTTGGTGGTAGTAGCAAAATCCAACAGGTCCCTGTTTCGAGCCAGTTGAATCCAACTCACACTCTCTCGTTTCCTGGTTAGCTTACACGCTAAGCACGGCTGTACGATAAGTTGCAGATATGGCGCGGCGACAAGTTCTGAATGTCTTAATGCTATCGGCGCAGTAACATTTAAAATGCTACGAAATTTGGTGTTCTGAAACAATGCGTAGGAAACCTCAGTAATTTGTACTCTTCCCCAGTTATTACTATAGAATTATCAAATCAAGGGCGTCGAGATGGGCTCATAAGGAAATGAGAAATACTTACAACATTTTTATTGGAAAATCTCAATAGACGAGACCACTCATAAGACATTGGTGTAATTGGGATGATATTAAAATAAATCTTGGGTTAATATGGTAGAAGGACTTGAATTGGATTGATATGGCTCAGGATAGAGACCGGTGTATTTGTGAACACCGAAGTAAACATTGAGCGACGATCATCTTCTCATGAATGACACCACTCCTTGAATTTAGTTAACGTATTGCAATTAAAGTACATCATTAGGCTGTATTATTTGGTTCAGCGACCTAGTTTTGTGGTCCAACAAACTTTACCATTTCTTGCGAAGGATATTTGGCCGTGACGTGGACTGTACCCTGCAATAAATGTGGAAGGGACTGCGCCCATATCGTATTGTATGGTTTGCCTGCCCTGGGCTGGGGCGGGCCTCCTCACCAACAGCTCTCTTCATGCACGGCAGGCCAAGCGTGACTCCGGTTTTTACATAATTATACCACGGTTGTAGTGGGCGGCGGAGGAGGGATAGATGAAATCCAACCTGCAAGGGAAAATCAACATATGTAAATTATTCTACAGAAGATAGACGAAAGAACAGTGCCTTTGTTGGCTTTGTTCAGCTCGTGATTATACATTTTGGAGCCAGCATAAAGCTTAATCATTTTAACAACCTTGATCAATAGTTGTTAGGTCAGTTCTCGATTATTCATGGGCGAATGTTTTTTGGAGGTGCAAGTGATTAGACCTCCGGATTCAATACCTGTGTTGTACTTTTTTAACAATTGATATGCTGTATTCTGCTCCCTGTAAATTACGTGGAGATCAGCGGGACATAAATCACATGGGGGAAACTAGAAATACACACAGAGTTTTGGTTGCGAAGCCTCTAGGGCTGGGGTTCTCAACCTTTTTCGCTGGCGTACCACTAATTCTAATTTAACACGTTAAGTGTACCACTAACCAAATGCGTTCAGGGAAAACTTATTTATGTTAATATTATCTTTCGATTTTCTTACTTAGTTCGCGTACCACCAGTGGTACGCGGACCATAGCTTGAGAAGCGCTGCTCTAGGGAATGTGCTATATGGGTGTGGACAGGAACACAATATTAAAATGGATGTTAAAGAAACAGGACTTGAAGTTTGGAACTTGAGTTAACTGGCTCCTGGCGAAGGGGGGGGATGAAGGGATTTTGTGAATACGGTAATGAACCATCGGGCTTATTAAATCGGAGGCTTTGTTAACCGATTAAATGCCAGCCCTTTCAATTAGTAAGGACCGTGAAATGAATTACAACTTATCGGGAGATGGTAACGACTTCATGTTAAATGAGACTGGCCACCCCTGCCCTGTTGAAGATGGACAATTGCTATCTCACCAGCTTTCACATTTCTAGGAAAACAAATTATTTGATTGTTTTCACACTTAACGAATCCTCTCCTGCCTTTGGCGCCTTTGCTGTTACAGTAGAAATGGACTAAATAACTTTGCTAAGAATTTGCATTGACAACAAATAATAGTTGCCTGTTTAAGATTATTTTCATATGGATGGTCATTTGACTTTCGACGCCCCCATTTTGTGCTCAATGGAGCACGTTGACAGGGAAACTTAAACCAGTGTGAATGGATGGACATGACCTGGCGTTTCTTGTTGAGAAAACAGCGACAGCTGTGGTTTTGGTGTTGATTGCATTGCCATCACGAAGTTTAGAGTTATTTTCAGTAAATATGGAAACGAATTTAGTTCTCCTCAGCTTCTAAGAACTGGCAAGAAGTAGATGACTCGATGTTCCATAATCTTTTTTACCACTTCATGCTCATTATTTACCGTAAAGCGACTTCAAATGAACTGCTGAATCAAGATTTCATCACTTGATTGATTTCATGCACGTTAACACTGAGAAAATTAATTTATAGCTTGAGGTTTAGTCATTTTGACCTTTTCATAGCAAAGCTGTTAAACACTAGGCGAGAGCACTACGTTCCTTACCGTACAGAACACATTGGTTTATAATCCCAGTTGATTAATATTGGGTTGATTTATCCTGCTTAATTTACTTACATTAATAGTTGTCAACTTTATTCTTTATATGCTGAGTTAGTAAAAAACAAATGACTTGCTTTAGCACACTTTTCTTATATCAGAGGAATCATATTCTAAATACAGTCTTATCATATTTGTTTGTCTGCCTCTCCCCCCAAAAAGCTTTTGGTCCAATTGGTGGAGTTTTATAAATTTGGTACACACATCCTACAGCTAGAAGCCACCTCACCTTTGAACTTTTCCTACCATCAGTACTGTAGTTAGAATACTCAAAGTTAATCAAGAAGTTTCCTGCATTTTATGGAATTTGAAGGTTCATTACAATGTTCACAAGAGCCAAACACTGGCCCCTATCCTGAACTAGATGAGTCAGTTCTACACCCTCCATCCCTATTTCCCTAAGATCCATTTTAAAATTATTCTTCCATATGTGATTAGGTCTTCTGATTGGTCTCCTGCTCAGGCTTTCCAACCAACCAAGCTCAAGTTTAATTAAAAGATAAAATCATTGACCTTTCATGTTTTTGTGATTCTAGGAGTGTCAGAGTCTGCTAGAGGAAAATAGACGCCTTCAGGCCACCTTGGACCTACGTTCAGTGCCTTTACTGAATGGCCGAAGCTTGCAGGTGATAGACAGTACCATTCTGCAGTCCCGTGTTGACACGCTGCAGTGGCAACTCAAGCAGGTAAATATTAATAAACATACAAGTTTACTGCATCATTCATGTTGAGATGTTATATGAATTATGAATACTGGTGTGGATTGGATTCATCTGGCTAAGAATAATAACTGTTGGCAGGCTGTTATAAACATGGTAATGAACCTTTAGGTTTCACAAACAGTGGGGAATTTCTTGACTGAGTGTACTATCAGCTTCTCAGAAAGGAGAAAGTATTATAAAGTGGGACCAGTAGAGACTTTATAGAAGTTTTCAGACTTTTAGGACAGTTTGTGACTTACCATGTTTTCATGTTTTTAAATGTATGCTTCAGGCATAATAATGCTTAATTACAAAGTGTTCTGAGAACAATTAGTATTATTGGATTTCTAGACTTTCTTCAGAATGTTGTGTTCTTTTAAGAATCTTAGACACTGGATGAAGTCCAGAAATCCAATGACATAACAAAATGCTTCCAATGAAGGTCGTGCTCAAAAGAAAAGTGATGTTTTGATTGTATTATAACTTGATGAAGTTTAGAGTGAAGGAATCTTTTCTTTGCCACCATGTCCATCCAGTTCTGAGCTCATCCAACCACCTGTACTGTGGTTGCTGATGGTGAAAGTGGCCAGAGTGTGAAGCTAACCACTCACTTCCATCTACTGTTGAGATTTAAGAATGTGTATTGTGTGATGTTTAGGCACAGGGATGTCTTTACCTCCATCCTCTTTATTCTTGATTGATTTGATAAGTGATTAAATGTGTGTAACACCACTAATGAAGATATAATTTTTATGCTTCAGGCTGAATCCAGTCGGCAGATGTACCGAGCTGTGATGGAGCAGGTTGTGAGGTTTCTGGAGCGAGCATACAAGAATCTTGACTTGATTAAAAACAAAATGGACCCTGGAGGAAGCTCAAACAAATCAGATCCTTCCAGGTTTGGTACAAATTAACTTATTTTATTCTGGCATATCCATTATGTTTATACTGATGCAGACAAACATTATAAAAGGTAAAATTGGAATACATTTAAAATGTCATATTTATAATGACTTTATATTTCATATGTGTAATGTGAAATTATGTTATGTTACTTGCAACTTTATGATTCACCCTATTTAGTACCTGTGGTAGGGATATTGCTGATTAAAAAGAATCTAAAGAATGTATGAGGATTTGAAAAATTTTAATATAGGTATATTGAGATATTTGTCTTCAGTTTGCTTAATTCTGGAAAAACTATCTTGCATTTACAAGAACTCCTTTGTCTCTGTAGATATGCATGTCTTCTCACATCCTATGTCTTACTGTTGATTAATTTAAGCAAAAGGAAGAGTAATTTAATAAATCACTATCAACAGTCTCTAAATATTACAGAAGTTAAGTGAATGTTTTTCATCAGTCAACACACAACTCAAACATAATATTCTTGGCACTGCTTAGTCCTTTAATATTTTAATACAGTGCTTATGTTATAGATATGACCAAGAAATATGACTTGTTTTGACCTTATTTGGTCATTTTCAGGTGAATAACTTGAATCTTAACTAAACTACTACTGTAACATAGACTATGTATTGTCCGTGAGGCACGAGAGTAGACCTGATATCTTTGAGGGAGGTGGGGTAGAATTCTGTGCTACTAGCGGACCGAAAAACACCCGCAGCTTATACAGGCCGTACGTCGTGAGCTAATGTACTGACTGACTGATAGCACAATGTTCTTAGGTAAGGAATACATCACCAGCGCATGCGCAGAACCCACTTTCCCCCTGCCACACAAGCAACGGCTGATAAGGCCACGTGTACTCTCGTGCCTCGCGGACAATAGTAATTTCTAAAACTTGAAATTCACAAACAAAAACTTTAAAAACCTTTAAATAAGGAAAGAGTAAGTAAAGCTGTTTCACTATATGCCACGAAGGCACTTGGGTGAGAGGAGGTATAGCTCGTACTCATTCTTAACTTCAGCACTAGATGGGGGTGAGTGGGGTTAGTGTCACACCCTGGTAGCTCTTTCACCCCCCAGGAAAGGACCCTGGTACCCACTGGATAGGAGGCTGGGTGGTCCCCAGAACCAGTTTGGATGCAGAGGCTACAACTTTTTAAAATTATATTAAGAGTAAAATGTAGAATATAGTGTTAATTTTCTTTATTACTACAGTGTAGGTGTGTATTGACAGAGTATGATTTTTGTCATATTTTGAGGAAATTTATGCACCTACTGCACACAAAAATATATAAGAGCAAAAGTAACCACTGTTTCTAAGTACCATGCTATGGAGACCTATAGATGGCATCAAGATAAAGCTCTGTGCATTCTAGACCAGAATTTTTCCCTCACTTGCAGCCATCTTTGAACTCTTTTGCCATTACACCCAAGAAATATGCCTTGGATCTCAATGGATAGGAGGCTGGCTGTATGCAAGAACTCTTCTGGATAAGCTGGCAAAGACAAAAATTCCTACTCTCTCCAGAAATTGAGCTCTATGGTTTTCCAGTCCACAGTCAGTCATGTTACTGATTGATTTATTCCAGAAAATAGGTAAATGTCTAGTGTACAATTGTGAATGTGAGACTAGTATGATACTTTGTCATTAAAATGTCTTCTTACAGAGTTCCTCGTTCTCGTAGTGTCCACACAGTGGATGTTTCACCAAGCCGAGAATGTCCAAAATATGAAACTCAACCTCATTTCCCACGTGCTAAAAGCATTGCACAGATTGAGGCATCTCCCAACTATAGCACTTTCCGTGACTTCACCTGGTAAGGACACTGATGCTAGTTATTAAGCATTATTTTCTTAATATGCATGAAATGAGCACATATAGGGCTGACTGTGTTTATGTGTCCATCCATCTGTCCACTTGATTCATCTTCAAAGAAATTTGATAAATATATTATGCCACTGGGGTCCACCTTAATATTGCACTTTTATGATTAGTAATACCAGCATGGCAGATGATAGAATTTGTCAGGTAGGATGAAAAATGAATGTGAGCAGGATTTGATCCCATGGCCATATGTGTATGGTACAGTTCACTATCACAAAGCCAATTTGCATTGTATTATATCATTATTGATTAAAGGAGACATTAAGAACATATGATATTTATAATTCAATTGTAAAGGGTTCTGACAGTGGTGGATTACACTTAAAATTATTCATTGTCTGGACTTTTTCTATCATTCTTGTTCAAAAGAATATCTATCACTATGTTTCAGAAACTGGCACTGTTTCCGTCTTCAGGTGAGAGGTGATGGAGACTAGCTCTATCTGACAGACCCAACTGAGTAGGTATCTCTCACCTGAATAGAGAAACAGAGTCAGTTTCCAAAATGTCATGGTTTCTTCTTTTAAACAAGGACGGTGACGAAGTCCAGACAATGAATAATTTTATATATGATATTTATACTTATAAACTGAAGTTGAGTGGTGTTATCTTTAAGGAATAATTTTCTTGAAAATTTACAGACTAAGATACTTTCAACATATATCATAGCTTATACATTACATTTTTAATACAGTGCTGCATTCATAAACAAAACAAATTTATGGCAAAATGAATGAAAAAGTCTAGAGTGCCTGCATTCCGTTTAAGAACATTTTAATATGTCTCTTACAAAATATGTAAGGACAGTCAGAGTATTCAAAAGAGGTTTTAGACGTTGACATTATTCAGAGAATTTGAATAAAGCAATACCAACATTAGAATTGTATTTGGTAAAACCTTAAATGTAATTAGTTCTGAGATTTTTGATATTAATGAAGGTATTGTCACTTGCACTTAGGAACAGTGGTGGTCTTAAATCTGCAGGTGTCATTCATAGTTTTCCATCTCTGAAGTATATATTCTGATACTGAGATGATGTTCATGCACTGAAAACTTTGCTTTGTTTGGTTTTTCCTAATGAGGAATCCAGATATTTTTCAACATTTATAATAGCTTTGATTACAGGGAGGGTACATATAATTTTGGGTAGTTTGGCCTTAAAATTGATAAAAGTTTCTCATGATTAAGCCTTTTAATATCATGTTTTTATTTATGACTCATCCCTGGAAGTTTAGGTTTTTGCAGAAACAGATCTTACTGCATAGGTTACATAGTGCAGAAGAGGACCATGAATGATGAGGTGAAAAGGCTGTATGGGGAAGCAGTTATGTATTTTAAAATTCTAGAATTTGCTTGGATGAATTCAGGCAAATTGCAAGAAATGTCTGTGAAAATAGCCAGTCTCCAGTCTGAAATTTGAACATGTGGTCTCCTGAATGTAAAACAAGAAGAGGTTGCTTCTGTGTGTGAAACTAGGTGGATGTCAAAAGTGAAATCTCTTCTTGTATAGATTGCCAGCAAAATATAATCAGCCCCTTGAAATTTATTATAATGGATGTTACATGTATGTTTTTGGGTATATATATACAACATTTATTCTTATAAACCAGAAGAGTTTAGTTTTCAGTCTTAGTACATTAATAATTATCAGCCAGAAACTTCTGATTATACCTATTTAAACAAGAATATATATACTGTACATTTTTTCCTTCTGTTTCAGGCGCCGCCCAAGACAGACTCGTTCAGATCCTGATGAAGTTCCACCTGATAAATTGTCGCAGGAAGCATTTCGCTTGCTTCGCACAATACAGTCATTGTTGAACACCAGAGAACCTGACCTTGTGCAGCGACTGTGTCCAGAACTTGAACGTGAGATGGTACTTGACCATGACTCTAGTGACAGCCACTGCAGTAGTCCTTCCTTGGCTATACCTGGACCAGGCAACAAAAATTTACATACAGTAGTTTTCCAGAGTAGAAGCAAACAAAAACCAGAACCTGTTTCTCTTTCCACTGGTAGCTGCAGCTCACTTCTCCGGCAGTCACTTGATGCCTCTTCTCTCCGTTCCATTAACTATAACACTAATAACAGCTCCTTAACTAGTGGTCTTGAATCTGCTTTTGCTGGAAGATTCAGGACCACACCTCCATCATACACTTCTTCCCTTGGCCGTCCTCAGAAATGCAAGGCACACAGCCCCCCTGTCCTGGAGTTAGGTTATGAACCTAGAGACACCATAAACAGCAGTCCACCAGTACCTCAACTTAGTGTAAGTTCAACTGAGGATGAGAGTGGATTCTCCTCAATGAACTCCTTCCAAGAAGTAGGACTGCCATTGATAAATCCATCTAAAACACCAGCCTATTCCAAACAGTCATCTTCATACAATGAGACCCATTATCAGTCTAAGACTCAGAACTCCACAAGCCAGCCAGCAGGTTATTGTGGTTCTGGGTGCCTGGATCTAGGGTTACCAGTGGTTGACATTCCATCCATCAGCAGTGACAGAAATGGTACCACTCCGATGCACAGGCGGTGCAGTTCAAGTCCAGCTGAAACTATTTCACAAAATTCAAAAAATAATGCTTCTTTCCATGGTGCAGGAGAAATGTTGAGGGTGCTGTGGGTCTGAATGCCACTGAACGTATATTTTTTTGCCGTTTGCTGATTTTAAAATGTCTATTTTGTCGCCAGTACTCATTTATAATAGTACTAGTGCCTAGTAGTATTTATTAGTGCTTTAAATTTAATTTACTTTGCTGGTTTACAGTTATTAGATATTTCTTAATAGTATGTGTTTCAGTGCATATTATTCTCTTTTTTGTTTTTACACAATTTTAACATTGAATTTGGCGGGGGGGGG